AATTCAAAACCCAAAAGGAAAAATGGTTTCAAATTTGATGGAGACTTCTTAAGCGACCGACTTGAAAATGATTTATATATTTACTTTCTTTACTAAAATAAAAATAAATAAATAATATAAACGCCTATACGGAATCTTTCGTGCTTCCAACAAACTAATTTCAAACAGCTAACTGCTTTTAATAAAGCTGCTGGCTTCTCTTTCTAAGTTAACAAAATTTGTTAAACACCACAGCTTGTAATCTTTACTTACTGCTGTTATCAACTTTTAAAGCAACAGGAAAACTCTTTTTAAAAACTCTGATCTGTCCATCCATCTTTAACAAGGAGAAAGGAATTAATAGCTTCTTGCATATTCTTGAGCCCCAAGACACAATCCCTTTTAAGGGGCTTAACAATTTAAAGTTTTCGTGACATATTTATATCGCCAGTAGACTCGGCTCTCAAGCATATGTAATGAGGAGAAAAAAAGCTACATTATAAGTCGAAGATTTCCAATGCTCCATTTCAAGGCAAGCACTGACGTTTCTTTCTACACTTTACCAAAAGATAAAGATAAAGATGTATATTAGCTTCGTCATTTCAATTACGATACCCACTCATAGGCATTAAAAGCAAAATACCTAAAAAAAAAAAAATTGGTATTTTCAGTATTTTTGTAATAATTCGACATTTTGCCAATAACTTACGAGCTTTAACAGATATCGTATAGCTACTAAAGATATGAATAAGGAAATTATTTCGACCAGCAAACGACTTAATAGAAAGAAAGCTGCACGCAAAGACGGATTTGTTGCCTTTAGTTTTCAATTTTTCTTTTCTTTCTTCTTTTTCAATTCTAAATGTACCTAAACCATACCGAAAAATTGGAGTCATCAGTCAAACAATTTTTAAAAAGTATTAATCTTTGAAAAGTTGGCGTCAACCTCCCAAAAACATTGTGATTATTTACTTGTTGGTTGGAGAAGAGTACAAGACGCTACCTTTGCCTTTGGCGGAAAGAACATCCAAATCAAAGTATAGCATACTCACTTATTGAGATGACTTGGGTAACTAAAATGCGGCCGTATAAGCACCGTTAAACCTTCAGTAGAGGCTGCAAACTGAAGTTGAGAGAAATAATTGACTTAATCAAGATTGTAATTACATTCATTATTAATTGTTTATTAAAAAATAAGTAAAATTTCACTGACTTAAATAGTGAACAAATATACGAACATAACTGAATTAGTTCAAAGTTAATGCAATTACTGAAATGTTACGAGCTAACCGCTATTCTTTTTATAACGACGAGACTAATACCCATTCTTTTCTCCTTGGACTAACTCTGCTTCTTCGACATTCACTGCGTTAAGAAAAGCGCCCGAGAGCGACTATTTTTTAACAAGATATAATATAGGTTACACCGTTCTTCTTGTATTGAGGAGAAATTTCAAAAGTATTACCATCATACGCAGAGATTTCACTTCAAAGTAGGCATGATACATAAAAGATGTATGCCGCCCCTGATATAAGATTTCACATTGTCAGTTCGTAATAGTCAACAAAGAATAGAACTGTAATTTTTGTGCAATAACCTAACATTTCATAAAAGCTAGTGAAAGCAAACTTTTAGCCACCCCAACATTCGGAAAACGAATGTAACGTATATTCCATATACATTATTATATATTCATACAATAAATAAATCAGACCATTATATTCTCTAGGTATGATATAAAATATTCCTTCCTAATCGAAAGTAACAGAACACATTTTAAAAAAGTGTATGCCGAGACAAAAAAGCAATGAGTATTGTACCTTTATTCCATGGTAATGCGGAACATGAACCAATTTTTTATTTTGGCACATTTTTATCTGACAAAAACATGGCAAAAAAAATTTTGCAGCATCACTTTTTTTTTACGTATAGTTGTGGTTTTTCTTTGTACGAAAGCAAGGTCATTACCCCTGCATGTCTTATTAGAGACATTAGCAATGAGTCACAATAACAAAAAAAAATTACTCCTTGCTGCAAACGAATCGACTTTATCGAGAAAATTATTTCACTAACAACTTCACGGAATATATCAATATCATTGATATAAAATTGAAATTCAAACGATTTGATCTGTCAGATTTTTGCAGCACAAATTTTTTATAGCGAATAAAAAAATTTCATTGATTCCTTTACCGGCCTTGGAAAAAAAACTTCCAAACGCACCTAAAGAAAGCCCGCAAGGTTTTACAGCTGTCATAAGTTGTTAGATACGGAAAACACACGGCAACTGAACTTAAAGCAATGCAGCAAACAGCACTTACCAGCCAATTGTTTTTTCAAGAGCAGCGACGACTGGAGTTCCGACATTTTCTTTGAAAATTATAAACTAAACAAACCAATTTGGATACGCCGATTTACTTTCCTTCTCCTCACTCTTTTTCCAGGGAATATATTTGAACCCAAATTCGATCTCAGGCCAAATTAAACTTCTTAATTGCCGCAGAGATCAAATATTTCAACGATTAGCTGCTGCTGTCTATGTGAATTTCTTTGCAGAAAATTTAGCAAATATGTTGTCAAAACTCTTTTGCCTTCAATGCTAATACAACTCTGTTAGATTGCGTTGGAAGTTCCAATAAGATACTGAAAAAGAAATAAAAGCCGATATACACGTGCGCAGCCGAAAAGTTTGGCAACTTTTTACACCTCAAGACATAACTTTAGTCTTACCTTTTAAAGTATTTCATGTCCAATTTATAAATCCTTCCTGTGAGTATCTTGTTTTAAAAACAGCTAACGTCTTCCAAGTTTTTACGAGCATTATATATGCACGTAATTTGAATTTTGGTGTGGATGCAATAGATGAATAAATTTTCCCGTAAATTTTTATTATAAAATTTTTAATCCGTTTGAGTGGCCGACTATGCCGGCTTTCAAATCTCATACGATAGAATTTTTAATAAAACAGACAGTCGTCGTACTTTAGAACTTAATAATAATAATAAACTTATAGTAAAAAGCACTAGGGAGTAAAATATTATGTAGGCAAACCAAATGCAAATGCATATCTCAATGCTATCATTATTAAACAAAGGAAAAACTTTATTTAAAATATTTCATGTACTTCGACGCAAATGTCTAAATACCCTTCTAGCGGTTGACACAATGAAGCCTCATTGCGCTTTCGGAATAAAAAGCCACGCTACCATGGTAATATTGTATTACAGGCAGATGTAAACAAACACATATGGTTTTAGGAACAAAAATAAAGAAATCAATATATACATGTAATTAATAATAGATAAAAGAAAAAAAAAAAATAATGAAAAAAATTAATGTTACAAGAAAATCAAAATTTTAATTGATTATTAAGCTAAAAAATGAAGAAAATGATTTTAAAAGAAAGAACGTAAAGGTCGGCACACCTACTAAATAAAGAGAAAGAATTGCTTAACTGAAAATCACGTTTTAAATTGATCGAAATATAGTAAAAAGTCGATAAACTGCAAGAGCCATCCCGAAAGGAGAAATAATTGAATGAGACAACAAAACTTCTTTTATTATTCCTCGCTCTAGGGAAGACATTTAAATTATAAATTTTCCATAAAACGGGAGATAAATTTAGTTTATAAATATATATATATGTACACATATAATATTTACATAATATATAAATTTGTAAAATTTACAAATTAAAAGTATCTCCCAGGCGTTGGAATGCAAGGGAGGCTGCATTGTGTCAGCCCTCCAAATTTTGGTATGTTATTCTTAATATGTTTTATCACGATCTGGCATCTCCCAATGATATATTCGCTTTCTGTTAACCCGGCCGCTTTTTCTTAAAAAACCTCCAAAATCTCTCAAAGCAAAGATATTCACAAAAAGAAGTAAAAGAACAAAAGCAAACAACCAAAAACAGCACAATCTCAATCAAACTTTTTTGTTTACCTTCACCAAATTAATAAAGCTTTTTTATATTTTAAAAAATAAAAATAATATTTATAAAAAAACAGAAAAATGACCGCTGTTCCTCCTCCTACGAATGTTTGTACATTATTGCCTTTAGGTATGTAAAAAGTATCGATATATGTAATATGATGATTTGTCAGTTTTGCCCGGTTCTGTGATTTTAGAATTGGTGGATAAATGTATTGGCTCAAGAATTCATATCATTATGAAAAATGATAAAGAGATGGTAGGCACTTTATTAGGATTTGATGATTTTGTTAATATGCTTCTCGATGATGTGACTGAATACGAAAATACTCCAGAGGGCCGACGTATAACCAAATTAGATCAAATTTTATTGAATGGAAACAACATAACAATGGTGCGTACATATTGCTTATTAATTCTTTGTAAAGCATAGATACCAATAATTATAAATAAATTATATTGCAGCTAGTGCCAGGAGATATGCCAGGAGATATACCAGACTAACTTCCCTATTATCATCCAGAACTATTACCTTGAAGCAACCGATATAATAAAGTAAAATAATGTAAACTGTAACCGAACAATTGAAGGCAACTTTGGATATTTCATTTTGTTAGATGGAAAATTCCTTTTTTGTTATAATGGAATTGTCAAAGAAAAATTTGAAGAATACACACAATTTTCGTGTGGCCTTAAAGAACTTGAATTTTTATTTCATCAAACAGTGCCGTTTCTGTTTACAACACTCAGGAATAAATATTACAACAACCTGCACGACTTAAAATACAAAATATTTTTTGCGCTCGCTTGTCTACCCGCAAAGGTAATCGAACCCAAATGCATTTCCAAGCGCCAAAAATGAGAACGAGAAGAAGCCGCTAAGCTTTAAAAGTAATAGTCTGTAACCAAAAAATCGCTTAGACGCTATCTAACAATCTAACAATCTGCTTTGACGCTTCTTACTTTAAAAACACCAGTCGTTTTAGTCTATATTTGTCGAGCATATGAGAGTAAGTTCTATATTTATTTACAATTGAGGAAAATTGAGTCTGTTTTGTTTACATGCTGTTGCATGTATAAATTTCTCGAGCACCTGAGAGAGAGTAAGCTATAAAATAAAAAGTAGAGATTAATACATTTTTTTATAAGAAAATAAAATTTTTGAAGTCTTTAATTGCATTTTGGAATTTTTGATTAATTTTACGCACTTGGGTTTGGTGTGGCTCGATTTAAAGCAATTCAACTTTTTTGCATTATAACTGCCGGCGGCAATTTTCATTTTCCTTTTTGCAATAAATGTGCCTTAACAGATTTTTTCACTTATGAAATAGGCTGACATCGAAGGAATTTTGCCAAAGACAACTCTGTTATTAATATTTGACAAACAGATGTAAAGAAAATTTTGCCAAAAAAAAATATTGTTTATTTATTTAGTGTTTCAAAAAGCCACTGTTTTCACAAGCGTAATTGGCTTAGTCAGCATTTAAAATAAAAAACTGTTGGGTAAAAAGACTTAATAATGAAAGCTGGCACTTTTCGTAATAAAAACAAAATTGTGGGATTAGCATAAACCCAACATTGTGTTAAAATTAGTGTTAAGGATTATTAAACTAATTCTTAACACTTAACACTAATTTAGTATTATTCGTTAACAGCATCGGTAGTGTGCAAAGTTGTGTTCGCTGTTACTGCGCAACCATTTGGTTGCGTGTAAGTTTATTTTCAATACGTAAACAATTTGGTTGCGTGTAAGTTCATTTTCAATATGAAAGCACAGCCATTTGGTTGCGCAATACCATAATCAGCTGTTGATTTTTTAATTGAATAAACGTAATTGTTAAAAACAAGTAAAAAATGTAATTTGAAGAATGTTTTCGGATTTATTGATTAAAACAAGCAGACAAAGGGCGAAATTATTAACATGATGGTGATCTCAAGAAATTTTGAGAACAACATGGCAAACGACTCTATTTTAGGATTGTGGCAAAACGGTAAATATTAATTAACTTGTACAAATAAAAAATTGATGTGTTGTTCATGTTTAGGAAGAAAAAAGCTAACATTAGATGTGCCACTCAATGGGATCCTGTGCTGATTATCTCACAAATAATATTTGTACAGTTTTGCGAGTATTTTTGAATTCATTTGTTTTCTGTTTTACAAATTTTTATACAAAACTAAAGTAATTTGAATTATGAATTCATAATTTACAAATTTTTCGAAACTCTTCTTACGACTGTTCAATTCAATTCATTTATATAGTAGCACATCTAATTTTCCTTTATAACCACATAATGTACGAAGTAATTATGTTCTAATTTATTTTTCTTTACATAGTGTATCATTTTTCCTACCAAGTTGGTTCCCAATCGTAAGTGGAATCACGATCGCTTCTCGTGGAAACTGGGGTTCCAAGCTACGGTTTTTTTCGAACAATAACGAGCGACTTAACGAATTGCTTGGATAGAAGACAGAGACGCTGATGGAAATGCGGCGTGGAAGGCGTCAGTTTTCGTAAGACTTTTATTTGTAAAAGCAATCCGGTGGAAAAAATTTATTATCCATGTATTTTATTCGTATTAAATTTCATTGTTTTTCTTAAAAATAATTAACACTTGGGACTCAATAATAGTAATTCTGGAATAGAAATGCATATTCAGGGAAATAATGTCTATGTACATAACAAAATTTTCTAAAATGCACAAAGGAATAAAAATGTTTTGGAAGATAAAATATTAACATGTCAAGGTAAATAGAATAGAATAGAATAGAATAGAATAGAATGCACAGAGAACTGATAAATTTGAGCGTTAATTTCCTAAAAGTATATTTTTATTATTATTTATATTTTCTTATATTTTTTTTGGTCCTAATGAATGTTCTCGTTACCGCCTTGTAACACATAAAAACATATTCCACACACACGCACCGGTTTGTTCATACCAAATTTAAGGATTGGTACATCACTATTTGAACATTTTGAGCAAACAACCCGACCACAGTGGCGACTATAATTCATAAATATAATAATAAAAGAGCATTTAGAGAAAATAATTTTCAAAGAATATTCGATTTTGCTGCAATACAACAAAAAATCATCGATATGCTCTGCATATATAGATTTAGAAGATTTTCTGTTACCTTTGAATTTTGCTTACCAATGGTGTTTACGCATTGTCAATGAAAATTTCGCATTACATTCTTGGCATAAATCCGATTCAGACCATGGCGATTCTTGTGGCAATTGATCGAGTAGCTTATGTAGCAACTGGTCGGTTGCTAATTTGAAGTTGAAAATACTGATGCCCTCCCGATTTTCGGTGCCAAGGCACGCACCGTTCTTTACCAAAACCTTGCAGATTGGGGCTTGCCCTCGCATAAATGCTAATAATAAAGGAGTATTTCCGTCCATATCGGGTGCATTTAATGGATACTTAGGCATTGATTCGATGAACAATTCGCAGATAGCCGCTGCAGTGCTGTCTTCTACGACACGACATAGCTCATGCAAAGGGTTCCGGCCTTTTAAATTTGCCGCCTCAGCATTAATACTGGATTCAGTTAGCAGTTCGCGGACAATGGATAAGTGGCCGCCACGTACGGCGATATGCAAAGCATTATTGCCTTCACCGTCGACCGCGTCATAATCCGCTTTGTTCTGCAAGAGAGCAGATACGGCAGATAGATTGCCACGTTCGGCAGCAATATGCAAGGGTGTTTTTTGAACAGCATCTCGCTCATTGATACGTGCGTCTGCCAGAATTAAATTGCGTGTAATCATTTCGTTTTTAGATGTTGCTGCTAAATGGAGTGGAGTCGATTGATTGGCATCGTGTACTCGGGAATTCACATCCACTTGGATAGCAAGCAAAAACAACACACTCTCTAGGTCATCCTTCATGATGGCTAAATGCAAAAAGTTTCGCCCTCTTGAGTCCATTTGCTCGGCCGCGTTTGGCAAACGTTCTAAGATACGTTGAGCAGCTCTATGATTGCGCATAGCAAGTGCAGCCGCAAATGGAGTGTTTCCGGCCTTATCGCGTAATTTCAAATCGATATTCGGATGACAAAGCAGCATCGATATGATTTCCTCATGTCGGTTTTCTATAGCTACATGCAAAGGAGTTTTATTCTCGGCATCTAAAGAGTTTACATTCGCTCCGTGCCCAATCAATGTCTGTAAGACTTTTGTCAACCCCCACTGACAGCACAAATGCAACGGTGACGCCTTGTCTTGTGATTCTTCGCCACCTTCCCCATTCGGCCCCGGTTGCCGTGGTGAATCCAGATCACATTGACTACGTATCAGAAATATGGCGGACAACTCTTTATTTTCGTCGATGGCACGATGTAGTAGCGTTTGTTGACATCCTTCAGGACCCGGCCCCCAACAATCCGTATCTACACCATGTCGCACTAACACTTGAGCCACATCCTCGTATTCCAATTCGAGCGCAGTCCAAAGTGGCGGATCGCCCCTATTATTCGGTGCGCTTAATGCAACCCCGCGCGTACATAATGCGTTGACAACCTCAGGCATATGAGAGTGAATAGCCAATTGTAACGGTGATTCTTGCTCCCCAGTTAACGCGTTCATGTCTGCACCTTGTTGCAGTAAGAATACAGCCGTCTCCGAATTATTATTAAGGATGGCCTGATGCAGCAATGTCATATCTTGACCATTGCGAGCATTTACATCAGCTCCACCCTTTATTAATATAGGCACTAAGTTCGTTTTACCTAAAGTTAAACTCAGACTCAATGGTGAATCGCCGTTTGCATCCTTGCAATTGAAGTTAGGAATTTCATGATTGCCATCCACATGGTCTGAAACCTGTTTCGCAAACACTTCTATTACCTCGATTGCATTGGACTTCACTGACAAGTGCAGCGGCGATTTCAAATCCGCAATGCTCGATTGTATGTTAGGGGATGCACCGATACTTAATAATTTTTGAGCCAATTTTGCTTGATTACGATGTGCCGCAATGTGAAGCGCTGTTAATCCACTGCTATTAACATGATTAAGATTGGAGAAGTCAGCCAAAAATACTGCAGAATCTTCGAGATCTTCATTAGCTAAAACTTGCAGGAGATTGTCGTGACTATGAGATTTAAGGGGATTCGGGCGTGCACCCAAGTCTATAAGTTTCGCAGCTAATTCTAGATTACTACGTCTCAAACTGAGTTCCAATGCACATTTTTCGTCGTGCGTTCGCAGATTTATATCAATATTTGGAACGGACAAAAGCAAATCCACCATGGCGTCGTTGCTTGATTGAATCGCAAGGTGCAGCGCTGTCTCACCTAAATGATTCTGAACATTCACGTCCGGTTTCAGCTCAACTATTCTTTTACCCACTTCAACCATGCTGGAGTATGTTTCACTGTTTGTTTCGCTAGGATCATAAGCACAGATGATGTGTAAAACTGTATCTGCCGTTTGTCTAATAAAGAAATATTTGTTAATTTTAAACTAACAATCAATTTTTGTACAATTTTTTTCGTCCCCCACCTCGACATTAAATCCAACTGACATTGCCGTTCCAGCAGAAAATCAGCTGAGAATTTATCGCCTCTCTTGACGGCGTCGATAAGAGGTGTATAACCCTATTGAGGACAAAATCATTGCTGCCTTTAGGAACAAATAGATATGCAACAATATTAAAATGTCATGATTGTAAATACCTGAGCATCATAGGCGTTTACATTTGCGTGGCCATTCGTCACAAGTGTTTGTGCAATTGGCACATTCCTAGCCACCAATGCCATCTGCAAAGGCAACACACCCTGGTCCGATACCGCGTTCACCAATTCTGGGAGCTAGATCGAGTAATAAATAAGCGATATTTTTGTTTGTATATGTGTGTCATGAAATATAGCTTTTCGTTATGGCAATGAATCATTAATTCATTTCCCGTTTTGCTTGCGCAATCCGTACGAGATAGCGATCCAAAATACAGCCCAAATCTTTACCAGAATGATGCGTTAACTAAAACTCTGTAGAAATGTGCCTAAGATGAAAGTAAACTTCAAATTAAAATCCACAAGAGATTTTGATCCTACATTATGTGTGTATTGTTACGAAAATTCCAAATTTGATGAAACGACTTTGCATGAAAATTAGCCGATTTTCTATGAAATCAAATTCCAAAAATGATAAAACCAGACACGCATTCATGACGCAGCTGGCGACAGGACAAGAACATTTAGTGGAAAAAGAGATTAACACAAAATATCGGGATGAAGTGAAGTGCTGGTAAGTAGCTTGTAAAGGAAGGGTACATAAGCAGAATATATGCGAAAGACAGAGTCAGTCGAGTCAAGAGAATTAAAACCCATGGAGAAGGCTTATGTGACAGATGTGACAAACTATGTCCTATCCATTTCAGATGGGTTTTAAAATTTGCCTGTATTCTCAAAAATTATTCAGGATTGTCTTATTAAAGTTGTTCCAACGTACCGTGCATCCATACATGGGCAACAAACATTTCATGACGCTTTCTTCACAGCGAATGTGTGCAAAATTTATGAATAATTTCGTTTCTCTTCATCGACGTTATAATAGCCGTTCAACTGATTGCATAGGCGCTTTCCTATTGATAACATTTTTTCTTTTCTTTTCGCGAAGAAAAGGAATTTTCGCTTGATTTCCAAAAATTCAGGAAAAAAAAATTCAATGTATTATAGCTTGACACAGTTCTAGCGAATTTCTGACCTTTGTATACAGCAACAACATATTCACTTCCTTGGCTTCGCCCAAACGTTTTCTCTTATTAATTCTTCGAGATAGAAAATCGACGATCAAAGCCCTCAATTTTTGTTTGCTCTAACTTGAAAACACAAGTAGATTAGCAAATGCTTGAGTGAAGAAAAAAATTCTTAACTGTAGATTTTACAGTCACTATCAGAAAAGAACAGTACATGCAAACAGATATATGTATTGAAAGTTTCATGTTCCTTTTTAGCGTTAAGCTTGTAGTTAATTCGAAAATTGCGTAAAAGTATGTAAAACTATAGTTGGCTGGCGAACGAAGCGAGTGTTACATCGTCGAAGAATTTGTGATATCTCTACTGTACACATATACATACATTTCAAATTCTTTAAAGAATGCTATGCATTAGAGTCTCGGTTTTGGTGAAGTAGTTCCTGACTTTTCAAAAATTTTCAACAATTTCTCTTTAAAATAGCCGCTTATATGTATGCATGTAATGTGTGTATGCTGCGGGATAGCAACCGCAGTTTATTACTTAAAGTTACACATAATGCGGTAGTGTGTATTTCCTCTTTCTCCCTCTTACGCATATTCGCCCGAACTGGATAAGAAAAATGAGGATTGTGCGTCATTACATTCCTAAATACACGATTGTAGCTTTGTCTTTTTGTGATAATTATTTTCATATATATACATATATATATATATATATATTCATATTCAACATATGTATATATATATATATAATATTCTTATAAGCATAAATGTATTGCCACTAGTAAAACAAAGAATTCGCTCATTTCTCGAAAATCATTTAGTGTAGTATGTTAAACATTTCAATTGGATTCAAATTCTAGTAAAAGAAAAATTTCAATGTTGACTAAAATAATCATATCTATAGTTGCGTTGTATTCAGTGATTATCAGCGGTTCGTATCTAATACTAAACTGATGTTTGAGTATATTTTGAATCGTGCATTTGCAGATCAAGCCTATGCCATAAGATGCTTTAAATGTTTAGTAACCGAAGAAGTTTCGTTTGCAAACGAAGAAGAAAATTTGCCGAATATAACGCCAGCTTGTTCGAAATTTGATAGTTCATCAAAATTCATTGTAGAGTGTCCATACTCTACAATGTGCATGAAGACAATTTCCACCATGTATTTGCAGTACGGCTTAGAACAAAACACAATTACGCGCGGGTGTGCTCCGCAAAAATCGTCTACATTGGTATATGCTTGATTAATTCAAAAATTTCGTTTATTCGTTTTTACGACTTTTTCAGGTGTTTCGAAATGGAAATTGGCACAAGGAAGATTCCGTGAAGGATGTTTATGTAGAAGAATGCAGGTTAATAAATGAAAATGTTTTGGCGGCTTCTGTAAAAACCCTTTGCTATTGCGGGAGCGATTTATGTAATTCAGCGAAACGACTGATAATACCGTTATGCCAACTTACGACATTGTCCATACTTCTACTAATAAACAATTGAAATAAAATAAAATATTTTATAAGGTTGTAGCGATATTTGGATTCGGCTTGCATGCATATTTCCACTTTGATTTCTTACCTTTGCGTCATTTTCCACTAAACACAAAAATACAACATCTTCCCGCTGTAAACGTACGGCAGCATGCAATGGATATTTTGTTTTACTCTTCAACATTTTAAATAGCAAAGGTCCGGACATATGTTCAAAGTCTTGTGGCGTCAAATCATCCCAATGTGTCGAAATTAAACCCGAGCAATACTCTAATAAACTGGCGGCACCTACTTCCTCAGCAACGCAGTAAAAGCGAACACAAGATCGCACGCCTACCGAGGATATTAAGGAACGTTCACACAACCCCAAAAGTCCAGGCAGACGAAATAAATGTGCCGCCCGCAATAGGTTCAAAGCCAAATGGTCGTTTTGAAGGTCCACAAGATCTGTATATATCCACCGAAGCAACGCCAAAGCAATATCCTCTTCCATATCGCTCCAATCAAGTTCATTAGCCCCAACCAGAATTTCCTCTCGCCATTCCTCTGACCGTGCATGTAACACAAATTTGTGAGCTGGCATTAATTTACTTTTCATTTTTATTGTGATATCCGAATAAATAGAGCGTCCATATAAGGATGCTACTGTAATGGCTAAGCGGGACACAAAACTGCTGCACTCTCCCAGGGCATCGTTGTCTGTCGAAGCTACCGCCCTGCTATATTTCCGTTCTAAATCCGCATAATTCCTTTGTAGTTTAGTGTACTCTTCCTTGAGCAATAGCAAATGCTTCTCAAGTTTCTTTTTTGCGGCAGCATCGGATGTATCTGAATACAACAAAAAAACCACCCATTAATTAAAAAAAGATTTCGTTTTTCGAATTTGTGCAACTAATAGCGATATTCAAGTCTAATTTAAAGCGATTCACTCTTTCTTACCCATAACGAACTTAACTAAAATATCAAAATTCTAACAAATAATTAAGAATTAAAATAGCTACAATTGTTAATTTTTGCTTTCTCTTTTATTCACTTGTTCCTTAATATGTTTCCACATCTTTTTTACAATGTTATTAGACGGAGCACTCGCCTGCAACTGTGTTCTTGAAATAATAAGCAGTGCAATATACTGCATTATATCTTCTTCTTCTTCTGGTTATATGCATTTTGTTATCAAGCAATCTCGTCGTGTTCAAGTAACCGGACAAAATTTGTAAATCAAAAAGCAATTTTTGGTCGTAGTCTCTCTGTTTGTAGTGACTTCTTTACTCATCTCCTTGTTCTTCACTCATATTTTCGTCAAACCTCAACTTTCTGAACCAATAACGCTAAACTAATAACATTTTAATTAATTATCGATATTGTTTATAAACGATTAAAACTTTAGAATTCCCCTTTTCACTTCTCAAATCAATTAAATTTATTTAATTTTCTCATGCATCTTGTTATACTTACTGAGATATTACCTATCGTTTGCATTTTGTTAAATTAAAATTATAGAGAATAGGTGCGGGAGCAAAGATTACCCAGTTGTATGGAAATGAAAAAAACCGTAGAAGTTTTACGAAAATAAAAGAAAGCTGTAGCTAGTTAAAAACTTTATAAATTAATTGCTGTAAAACGTATAATAAAGAATGTTAATATTCTAACATTTGGCAACTCCCAGCTTTAATTAAACTGCTTCATACATATGAGAGCTTAGAGTTATAAAAGTTCCGAAATTTTTCAACTCTGTATATGATGGCAAAAAGGTGTCTCTTCGAGAATTTGTGATTTTAAAGAATATTAAAATAAATATTTAAGTCTTGAAAATAAGGGAAATACATAAAGTTTAAAGTCCAAGTAATTTGTTGGTATTCGCAATGCCCAATAATGGAAACGAGTAAGTATTATTTGATTAATACTTTTTGAGGTTACATCGCCTTTGAAAATAAAAAGTATTGAAATATGAATGAAATATGGATTAATTTACAGAGCTTATAACTCTAGCAATGATGAAACCGCAAATAAGCGCCGCAAATATGCAGTCACTTCTCGTCATAAAAAATCGAAGAAACATAAAAAACATAAGAAATCTAGCAAAAATGATTGCTCACATAAAAAACATAAGAAAACAAAAAGAAGCCATCGTCATTCAACATGCTCCTCTTTCGTTGATACGGACGCGACTCACCCTAAAAAGCGAAGTGGCGCTTTAAATGATAAATTTACGGAAATAATGGCGAAAGTGAAAAACGATAATAGTAGCGCATTGAATTTGGAACACAATGCAAAAACAAACAAATTTCATACATCTAAACCTAACATTCAGACAGAGCCCTGCAGCCTAGTAGAGGAAATTACAAAAACTATACAAAATAAAATATTACCAATTATGGAGGTGGTCTCGTCGAGCAGCGAAAGTGATGCGTAAGTTTTATATTACTATCACTAATCAGTGACTTTCAGAAAGTTTTTTTTAATTTAAAATATTTCTGAAATATGTTTGGCTATTCTTAATATAATATTAATGGGGGAAGTAGCAATACATATGCCTTGAGTTTCAATATTGCTATAATTTGAGGTGACAGAAATATTTTCAATATGAATATCGGGTATCCACCACCGAAGGGCTTTACATTACAAAAATGATAGGTAACACATACGTAAAGAGAAAAATGGTGGGAATTTCGAAGGTTTGTAATTTGGAAATTGAGTTTATTATACATTCAATTTCAGCATGCATTGTTTTTTATCATCTTGAATGATCTGTAATCATGTATCTCTGCACGTATCTTATGTGGCAATTATCAGCCCACCATTACAGTTGGGAAGGAAGTTTGCCATTAAACATTAAATCGTTGCTATTCTGCTTTGCTTTCTTCAACGATATTTGCCGATTTTAAACTTATTAATACGCACTTCGTATTTTGCTTTTTGGTAAGTTTGATAGTGTATGGCATGGTTGCTTGTATTACCAAACTTTCTCTTTAAATTTTTTTTCATCAATAATTTTGAAAATGTCAGACATTGATCAGTGTTCGCCAATGCTGCTAAATATATATATTAAAAACGTTATATGTTGTATAACTCCAAATGTGGTTTCGATCGCTCGCACGCACAATTAGCAAAACAAGCTAATTTCGCATCTTTATCAAACCACTCGCATATTTTTCTATCATAAACCTCTACCACCGATCGCCCATAACTGCACTAGGCTCGATCCCTTTTACAGTAATTTCCTTACTCCGACTTACAGCCATGTTATTAATCAACATGCCGTAAAAGTAAGGAAGCTTGGACACTAATGCTATCTCATGAGCTGGAAACGTTTGTTTTTCGGCCTAATAAGAAGCACACGTATATCGTGTGGGTAGATAACATTAAAATAAGTCACCTTTAATGTCACATTAGTTAATTTTCGCAAGCGATATATATCTTTCATTAATGGCAAATTTTGACAAATTTTTGTTCATACTCAACATTTTCGTCCAAATGTATAACAGTAGTCCAATAATCAATAAAAAATGATGTCTAAGTGGTGGTTATCCAAAATTCAGAAGCGATGTGAGTAGACTATTGTAAGAAAGCTTAGTTTTTCTATGTAAATGATATTCATTTGTATTACCTACACCTGCCGCTAGCTTTTGTATTATTTTCGCTTTTCAGGCCGGCTGATGTAGCTAGTCCCGATTTAGCTATTATAGAGGATGATCTCAACTTGGAGGAATTAATGAAACAGAAAGCTCTTCTTCAAGCTCGATTAGGTGCTTACATGTCTGACACTGAAGGTGATGACAGTCGTTCGCAGCGTGAAATGGAACATACTCTACCTGTGAAATGTACTGAAAGTAGTGTAAGCAACAAATACAGCAAGCGTAACGAACATACCACCACTGCAAATAGTAAACATAATTTAAATAGAATTTCTAAAGATAATGAATCCGATGTTATATTATTGGATGATTCTAGCGGTGATCGTTGCACACCGGAACGATTTGACAGACAGCAGAACACTATCAAGGTAAGGCAAATGGACGAAAGTGGCGAGAAGAGAACAGCTCGTGAGACATCACCGTTATATGTAGATAGACTAACAGATCGACAGGATTCCGATAGTCATCATCGTAGCTCATGTACAGAACGGCATGGACATGGAACGGCGCGAAATCGAAGTCGCACTCGATCCCCGATTAGAACAGAAAATCTTGATTCGTCCAATCGAAGGCGTCATGGTAATTCTGAAGATGATCGTAGTCGCCAGCGGCATCGTGAAAAATATGATCAAAATCGACAAAAAGAAGATTTGAGGCAAGAAATTAATAGAGACAAGCAGAGGGAGCGGAAAAACAGTCGAGAACGGGACCGAAAAGGCCGTGAAGAACGACCGCGGCAGCAGGACCGAGGTACCCAACGTGTAAGAGAACGAGAACGCGTTCGAGACTTAAATAGAGAACATGAAAGGTGGATGCGTGAACGTTCCCATAGTCGGAGTAAGGCGGAATCGGATCAAAAACGGGAACGTGAACGCGATCGAGAGAGAGAACGCACTCGTATCGGCAAAAATCGGGATCGGGGAAACCGAAGTGAACGTGAACGTGATCATTATCGTGGCTCTCTGAGTGAAGGGCAAAATGCGCAACAAAATGAATCCACAAGTGATGAAGACACCAACATGGATATTGACATTAATGAAGATGACGATGACGAGGAAAAAATAATTGAAATGAGGAGGAAACAACGTGAAGAGCTCTTGAAAGTTAGTACATAAATATATATATAAACATTTGAAAGTATACAATGTACACAGAGAATTTCCTAATACGACCTCCTATTTTTAGAAACTGGGTGCAAGTAACAATAAAACTACACCTTCTTACAGTGATTTTCAAGAGCAAGGCTCAGCTGTTAAAGATATAAAGGAAGACTATAGACTTTCTCAAGATAGAAACGATAATGGTTGTCGACAATCACACAGTTGTTCACCTGCATCTTCTTCGACTTCATATCGGAATCATGCGGAGGATGTTATTTCTATGGGAGATCCCAAAGAACAACAACAGCGTCAGCAATATCAGAAAAATGGAAAAGGAAACGCAATCACTACCAATAATAAAGAGAAACGTGCTGAATGGGATATGTTTGCTGACCAAGATGTTGATTCCAATTTCGATGTGAGTGGTTGGCCTGTAACTTTCAAACTCTTCCCTTTAAATATATGTTCACTTGTCTAAGGTGTTTTTATTTTGTTTTTTCATTCAGTCTCCGAACACAATTGTGCAAAACAAACAGCTTGTGGAAAATCCTGCTCTCACCGACAACTGGGACGATGCCGAAGGTTACTATAGAGTTCGTATTGGGGAAGTTTTGGATAATCGCTATGTGGTTTCGGGTTACACTGGGCAAGGTGTATTTAGTAACGTGGTGCGTGCTCGCGATCAAGCTAGAGGTAATGCCAACGTGGCCGTGAAGATTATACGTAATAATGAAATCATGTAAGTTTACCACTCTTAACTTGTCTCAATGAGAGTTTTGATTAATTGCTTTTCGCAGGCACAAAACTGGTCTACGTGAATTGGAAATTCTGAAGAAATTAAACGATGCTGATCCTGACGATCGGTTTCATTGTCTTCGCCTGTATCGTCATTTTTTTCACAAACAGGTGGAGGTTTTTTTTTTTTTTTTAGCTATGTATATTATAATAGTAGCTATAATATTTTTTCATAAAATTGAACGGAACACCAAGTTCAAATTGAATAATAAGATTACTGTCTTTGCAGCATCTATGCATGGTTTTCGAGCCTCTGTCTATGAATCTACGTGAAGTCTTAAAGAAGTACGGGAAAAATGTAGGCCTTCACATTAAAGCCGTGCGTAGTTATACGCAACAATTGTTTTTGGCATTAAAACTTCTTAAGAAAACGGGCATTCTCCATGCCGACATCAAACCCGACAACATTTTAGTTAATGAGAGTAATTTGATCTTGAAATTGTGCGATTTTGGTTCTGCTTCAACCATAAATGACAACGAAATTACTCCTTACTTAATATCTAGATTTTATCGTGCGCCTGAAATTATTTTGGGTATACCTTACGACTATGGTATAGATATGTGGTCGGCTGGTTGCACAATATATGAATTGTATACTGGCAAAATATTATTTAGCGGAAAAAGCAATAACCAAATGTTAAAGTTCTTTATGGATTTGAAAGGTATGTTATACGTTTTCTGATACTATTGTTTTGTAATTATTTTGCATGTTTTAGGTAAAATTCCAAATCGCATCGTTCGTAAAGGTCAATTTAGAGATCAACATTTTGATCAGAGTTGCAACTTTTTATATCACGAAATTGACAAAGTTACCGAGAGGGTAAGTGTCTCTTTTCTTATTTGAGCAAACATCCCCGCATTCATATAAATGTATGGTTATACAAAAATTAAAAGACAAGGCCTTCTATACAATTAGCACTGGCTGTGTGGTCATATGAAGGCGAAGACGGCCGCTATCAACCGTATTACTTATCAACCTCAAACTTTTGCAAAATTTAAAAACTTGTTCTTCCCTTTATCCTTCAAATTTGCTCTTTAATCCCGTCTAAAGTTCGAAAACTTTGAAAATCATTTGTATTTTAACTGCTATCTTTATAATAATATAAGGATATATTTCAAATTTTCCAAATTTTACTCGGACGTGTTAATTCACTGTTTAGTCAAAAAGTAAAGATAGTTTTTATCCAGTAACAATTTGCTTTTGAATTCCGGCAATGAGAGATTCGATTATAACTGGATATTGGTTGGATTGATAAGCGGAGTTTTAAATTTTCATATTCGCATTTTTAGCGGATGAAAACGTAAAAGCCACTTAAGCTGGTCTTAAATAAAGCAAGAAAGCTCAATAGATCCCGAGAAACTACAAAATAATTAATATATTTTATTAGCTGCCTTCGCTGGTTTATTATATGTTACTTTATTAAAATCAAAGGTAATTTAATTTTATCATTAATTTCTCTTTTGTTGCTAGGAGAAAGTCGTTGTTATGTCTGTCATAAAACCAATGCGAAACTTACAGCAAGAATTGATAGCCGATCAAAATTTGCCGGATGACCAACATCGTAAAGTTACCCAGCTGAAGGATTTACTCGACAACATCTTCGCCTTAGATCCGTCAAAACGTATCTCATTGAATCAGGCGCTAACGCATCCCTTTATACAGGAGAAAATGTAATGCCTCAGTGATGAAATGGGAAAAACGCTGTTCAGCTCAGCCTAAACATATTAAATGTAAATTTTTTACTTTTAATTATTTCACTTGTAATTGATTTAGACTGCTTGCTAAAACATGCTGTCTTATGATCATGCCGAAAATATATGTTTATATTAGATGTGCCACCGTGTAATTGAATCCTTTACAAAAGTAATATTTGTGGATTTTTGCAATATGCCTAAAAGAACAAATAACAACTATGTCGACAAAGAATAAATAAGTGGAATTTGCAAGAATAAAAATTGAAAAGCGGTTTAACTCAGGTTCACGTACATATTGTTTCCTTAACACTCACTCATATTGCGAAAAAAACACATGTCTGCTGAGGGCAAAAAGTTTGCAATATTTTAAAAATAATTTTATATGAAATTTGATTAAGTAGTGATTTTTATTGATTCCTTTACTTTTTCAGAGAAATATGAAATGGGTTTAGCGATCGTCCAACCTAGGCGTAAAAGAAGTTTTTTCGAGCAATTAATCCTGAAGGCTCGCTCGGGTAATAATTTGGAAAAAAAAAACATTTCCCTCTTTTTCTTGCCTTAACAGTTTCGCATACTGAAATTAACGTCATTCGTTTTGTATAGATATTGTTAGTGAACAAAAACATTTTCTTCTGATTTTCATAACCTAACTAAATAAATGGTTATTTTCTTCTTTTTTTTTTTTTTAAATTTCAGAATTATATTGCGCTGTTTTTGTAAGGTGGTTGGTTATTGGTAAAAGTGAAATTGTTTTTTGTTGTTTTTTTAATATGTGTTCTTGATATACGTAAGTTACGACTGTTTCATCATATCGCTGCTATGTACTGATATTGTTTTTATTTTTCATGTCAGGTGGAGATGTACGAGGAACCTGTTCAAGCGAGTTTTCCGCTATGTAAGAATCCGAATGCAAAATCAAGCGTTTCTAGGTAGAGTAATTATTTCAAATTTGTTTATTTATTCAACAAAATATTTCTTTCTGTCGCATGATACTATCTAGACTTCCTTATATAGCTAGCTAGAGGGCGAAAATTTCCATTGGCTTTGCAAGTCGTTAAAATGTGGTTGCGTTTAAAAATGCAATCGTCACTCCATTATAATTTACCGATCAAGTTTATTTATTTACATCTCTTTCTTTCTTTCTAAAAAAATTTTTTCAAAGCGTACGAATAATAATATATTTAAAGGAGTTTTGTCTTTCATTTTTAATAATGTATGGTTTTTGTATTCATCGCAAACGCCTCGGAGCGGACATCGATCTCAAATATTTACGAGAATCGCATTCACATTATATGTAGTAAGTTTTATGCTACTGGAGGAAAAGTATCCGCAATCGCAATTAGGTAAAGAATCGATCTCTCGTGATAGCTTCGTCGATTAGCCCGATCGTAAATCCAGTAGAGCAAACTTCAAATAAATTATTTAATCACTTAACTGTGTCAACCTCCTCAGCGATATACACGCACAGAGCATGTGTAACATGAAACTAGGTTGTCATGAAATGACTTGACAAAAACACTTCCTTAAATACAAGATTACAGCAAATGCACATTCCGACAAGGACGAATGGGCGTATCATGACGCATATATTCGTCATGCAAGAACTGGTCAAGCTGGATAATATGCGAATTTATTGGTAACAAAGTAGAATTTTTTTGCTAAATATGTCGGGAAAGCGGGACAATTGCCTAATTAGGTGTTAAATTTAGCGAAGGAACAGGGTAAATAGAACAAGGACTGTACGCAACATGCATAGAGTGATTTTGTTATATTTTCAAAGTCTAATTGATTACCATGGCCTCATCTACAAATTAATCTATTCATAAATGCAATAGCGTTCCACTTGAAACTCGGCGGTCAGTGCTTAAAGCCTAAGCTAAGGAGCGTTCTTCAGCACTCTATCATGTTTGCTACACCTACACTGAATCCTACATTCATGAATTACTTTTAACCAGTTTTCTATAGCTTCCACAAAGCCCCTTTGGTTTTCGCCGATCTTTCCCAAATGTGGACTTTCCTTAGTCTTAGACAGTGGCAAACACTTGAATTTAAATTCAAGATAATTAATTTCGTATACTCCTTGCTTATTGCGTGTGAAAGTGGTGTACGGAAGACGGAGAGAAAGCCGTAGCAATACAATTGCAACTTGCGCGCGTGATGAATTCGTGTTAACTTATACCTTGGGTTTTAACTAACGCGGTTTTCTCTCTTTTATTGATAACTTTAAATATTACATAGACATTGAATTTAATCAGGAATGATTAGAGGGGGGGAACGTGTTGAAATTCGTTGTCCAAATGAGTAAGAAGGAGCTTTCTTTCCAGGTTGATAATTCATGCAATTGTAATGGTTCGAAGCTGGCACCCATGATTTATTCCAACGTGGACCAAATCGCGATGACATGCTGAATTGAGGGCTGCTCCGTCTTATCAAAGAAATATTGCTTGGGCCATAGCCAGCTGGTCCAGGAGAGCGGGGCTTATCGCTGGGAGGTACAATAATTGAATAATTACTGCTTCGGTTGCGCTTTGCTTTGACCTCTGAACCTAAATATAAAAGACACTACACATTATCAAATGTTGTTCAAAATGCATTCTATATGTTTTACTCAAGGGCTCAGCCATTGCTTATCTCCAAGTTTAGAAAGTTATAGCTCCGATTATAATCAAACTTTTAATTTTGCTATATACAAATAAAATATTTTTTTATTTTCACTGACTTGATTTTCACATCAATGCATACTGGATAGAATCTAACAAATTTTGAAAAGAGTAGCGAGACGGAAAGCATACTCGGCATGAAAATAAATCGATACAATTTAATTATAGTTCATAGTAAGTTTTGCACGTAAATGTAACTGTTCACACGCTCGCTTTTTTAACTGATGCAAAAACCACATGTTGGTTTAAAACTTTGTAACGCGTCTTCTTAGCCGGCGTATTACGCAGGGTTTTTCAAGAAATTTATATGAAAAAGTCATGGACCTGCGTATTTATTTATTATTATTTATTATTACCGGAACTTTGAGAGGTATTTACGATTTTTGCATTAACGACGCAAATCAGAGTGGTGGCTCGCGGCCCGATTATTACTCGTAGTTTCAGTTTATTAAATTTAATTTCTCGCGCTCCATGGGTGCAAAAAATTTTCTTTAGCCGCCGCAACACATTTGTGACGTGCTGCGGGGTTTTAAAACTGCCATCCGTCTAGCTGCTTCGTCACAGTGTTGCTATGCTCGCGGCGGATACAAGCTGGCACGCATACTATCCTATATCCTATAAGTGTGTTATAATATGTATATTGCAAAGTGCTTCCTAGTAAGAAATGTACTATCAAGAACAGTCGGATTTTTCAGATCTACTCACATATATATTAATTAATTATATTGAGTAATATTGCTTATAGTTGTATACAAATATTTGCTCAGAGCTGAGTTCACGCAAAAGCATTATATATAAAGGAAAAGACTTTTCGTTAACAACACTTGCGCAGCAAAATTATTACCACAAGGCATCCGATAAAAACAAACGCATTTAAAAACCGTAAGAGAGAGAGAAAAGAGGTGAAAAGAGAACATTTACTGAAATTTGTATGCATAACGTTTTGAATAGACTTATGCGTGGGTATATTCGCGCTGTGTGAAGTTTTTGGTCATGTTTGCTTAACCAATCACATTTAAGCGCGTACGCAAAATTTTTAAACTCTCGATTTTTCTGTGCTTGGCTGTTTTTGTTTTTGCTACGTTCACATTTTTTTATAAATAAATTCGCCCTTTTTTTAAATAATCACCATTATCTTTCTATATATTTATATATATATATTGCCAATATATTTTTATTAGAATTCTTCTTCCTAATTTTTACTGTGCATGTACTTACTATTGCTGTTAGAAAAGCACAAATTACCACATCCTGAATATTTAAAATGCGGTAAGATTAACGCCGTAAATATCCAGACCGTGCTGACCTGTTGAGCGAGGGATTTACTTTAGTCTCAGTGCTAAGTGGTTTTTTATTACCCTACCCTATATGGAAATATCAAACTCGTCAAATGGGGAAAAATTTTACACTTTATTTCAGATTTTTTTGTTCTTTTTTTTTTTTTATGTTTTCTTAATCCAAAAATACGTATGTGAAAAAACTAAATTGCTGCAATCAGATATTATCACATGGAACGATCATAGGACGGGTTTTGGAATGATGACGTATACCAAATGAATATATAGGCGCTCGTTTTCCGGGTTTATAATTCATCCGGTTGTAATAATTCGAACCCGGCCCGTACAATTTGCGGATGAATTTGTTATTTGGTGTTAAAGTATATTTGGGACTTTGAGGTTTCACTTTATTTAAGCTAGCAGCCGGATAACCAGCCGGGCCAGGCGAACGCACTAATTCAGGTAAATATTTTTTGACACCTCTGCATCATTTTATAATTTGATTAATAATTTGAATGAAAGCAAAATTATTATTACTTCTACTTACAGTGTGTAAGCCGGAGCTCTTTGTCGTATAAAGTTATCTTTAATGCCATACTTGTTTGGTCCAGGAGCACATTTTTTAAATTCAAATGTATTCACTTTACCCATTGAATAAGCCGGTGCCCTCGATCCTTTGAAATTGAACAATTAAAATAAGGATTAGTTTAATCTATAGCAACTCATTCAACTTATTTAACGGAAACTGTGAACGCATGAATAACTTGTAATGTATAGAACGAAAGTACACCTGCACGAATCTATTTGAATTTAGACGATGCAAATTTTACGCCGCGAACCCGTCATCCTTTTTGAAAACTCTAACCCCGTATTACACTGGACTCAACTCAACTGCTAAACCTACCCAACCTACATATAAGATAGCACGCAACTTTGCAAATCATATCTCAATAAAGTATCTCTCCATTGATATTCGATTGCATTCCCTAGATTTTTTTATTTGCCGCGCAAGCCAATAGTAGTAAGTTTCCGTTGATAAGAAGCAATTAATAAAAGCTGCATGTGGGCTTATCATTTTAAATATACATTTATACATATATATGTATAATGTACATATCCATTTCCCTTCCTATATTGTGAAATTGTAGACGTTCTAAGTTGGATGTAAGCTACATTTTTGATTCGTTTTTTCAGTGAAGTCTTTAAGCCAAGTTCAAAAATTATTTAATTAATCAATTGTTCGTGGGTTTTTTGTCTTGTCTTGGTGGTATCTCATGTAGAGGTAGGCAGTAAATTCTCCTTAGAGAGCAACAAGGCGAAAAGGGAAACGATTTATCTTTTGTTTAGTTGTTTACCTTACATTGATTATTTTTTAACAGATTGGCCTCTTAATAAAAAATGACCAATCTGTTAACAGAAAATAATTCCTCTAGCAGGAAATGGCCAATAAATGTATGATTTCATGTAATACTTTACTTCTTCTTTACTTTTTTTTAATTTACTTACCTTTGAATATGGGAAATTTGTGAACTGCGTAAGCTTGCGGCCCTGGACTTTTCACTTTGTCTGTTAAAAAAAAAAAGAAAGGAAAAAAAAGAAAAAATTTTTTTCATTTTAGCCTCCTATGAAATATGTAGAAAGGACAACACCGCCTATAAATTACCGATTATCTTAGTTTTTGGCGCTATTGTAAAATGATTTGCTCTGCTAACACCATAACGAACTAGTTTCTCCACATTGTATCTGGCAGGTCCAGGTCCCACATCAAGAATTTTTTGATCCGTTTTAACACCAAATGAATATTTAGGTAAACGTTGCTTGCGCACATCATGATTTTCATAGCCTACCGTTGGCGGTAAACCATACAAACTAGCGGGACCTAATTGGAAATGTGAATGAATAAAGATTTCAATTTTTTTTGCTTTGCTCCCTTTATAAATCTCCCTTAGTCACCTGGTGTCTCTTTTGCCATTTTTTATTGCAGAATTAGATTTTAAAGAGAATTTAGAATTTAGATGAAATTTTTCGTCAAAAATTAAAGGCCACAGACATTCGGAGAATTTTGATTTTGAAAAATTTGTTTCAAATGTTTGATTAAAAAAGAACAAAGTCTTTAATATTTATTTCAATCAAATAGAATTCGATTATGCATTGTTTTTATTGTCTATGATGTGGAGTGAGAAAAGCAGCTCTCCATAGAAATTATTCAATTGCTTTTTCAAGACCTTTTCAATTACCACGCAAATCAATAGAAGTAAGTTTCCGTTGATAAGAACTAATCATCAATTATATCGCTTTCAATAAATACGACCAGCGTGCACGCTATTGAAAATGTTTAGGATGTGACTATTTCTTCGACCACTTCCCATGTAATGATTTATTTTGAAAATTAGTTATTAATAAAGTTCACCATTGGGCCGTCACGTCAGCACGCCGAATATTTCGAAATCGAGATCTCAAGCATTGCGACCTATAGGTTAAACATAACAACATACCATATTTCGATAGATTCTGAAAATCATTCTAAATCGATAGGTATTACAAAAGGTGTGTGTGTCTACTTTAAACCCTTCTAGATACGCTTAATTTAACCCGTATTATAAACGGTGTAGACTATCAACACAAGGCGTTATAAATAACTGTATTAAGCGAAGTGATGTTGAATATTTAACGTTTTTACTTGTTCAGGTCTTGCTACTACTCCATTCATAGGTAGAAGATAGACAGAAAGAATGAGATCATAATATTTTTGTTAACACTAGCCAAGCCTCTGTTCCTACTAAACAAATCAAAAATCAATCATTTTATAGAACGGGTACCATCGGTTTTATTTTAACGATAATAAGAGGCCTCGAGAACTTCACGCATTACTAGTCTATCCTTACTTGTATCAGGAATCTTACGATCTGGCTTCCAAGTAATGACTCCTGGCTCGCCAGAGTTGCGTTTTAACGTATTAGTGAGCTGATAAGCGTAAAATGATTAATAATCATCGGCTGAAGGACCATCGACATTTGTGCACCTATTACGAAGACGGCTTTTTGTGGTCGGTTCACCAGAAGGAGAGCGATGAAGAGTAGCAAAAATGCGTATATCCGTATGCGTATGGGGACCTGAGTAAAAGCCAATGTTAAAAAACCACTTTTATGAAATTTGAAGTCCCATTGTCACCATCAATGGCATAATAGCCATGTTTGCCCCCGGTAGGAACCATTTGAGCATAGAATACACCATTTTCTGGCTCAAAACTCCATTATTGATATATCCCAGGCACCAATTTTATGTGATAATGGTTTTGTTGTTGGTACTGAGCATTGCTGTGATAGTTTCTGAGTACTGTCATACTCTTGACGGCGTGTGTTACTCTGCAAAGCTTCAGCGTGACTCTCCTAGTACCCTTTTTCTGGTATGTAGCCTTCTTAGTAGCCGGTGGCAAACGTTGCTCTTGAGAATCCTCACTCTTTTCTCAAATATGGTACCATGTTAACATCTTAGCATATGTTGATCGGTAATTACATATGCCATATAATAGCAAAACCATCCAACATTTAGAGTGTCTGAAAACTCGCAACAATAAATTTCGATCGGATAATAAGGAGTCATAGACAATCGCCATTGCATTTTCTGGATCGACTTGCCGCAGGTTTTTTAGCCATTCGAAGAACAATCAGTGTTGTAATTGTAAAATGCCTTCGCGTTGGTATAGGGACACATGTTCTAGTCCTGTGGCTTTGGCTTCTTTTTCTTTTAGAAATCGTGTACGACGGATTACCCAATAGTTTGGATAAATTGGCGTATCGCTTTGAATCATTCGAAGTTCGCTCGGAATGAGTATACGCATTGATAAGCTTGATGGGGTACATCATCACTGGCATTGTAAAATACAATGCCGGCAGAAGACTTCTTATTTTAACATTGTATTTTTGAAGGCATCAGCGTTAACGTCACAGTATTAGCATTGTAAGTTTGGAAAAAAAAGCTTCTTAATTTTAATCTTCTATTAAATCTTAAAACAGCTTCACAGCTTAGATCTACAGCTTACCAAATTTTAATTTGGGGGAAAATTTTCGATCGTAAAATGGCTAACAATAAGCATCTAATGTGTTCAGTTGCTAACATGCTAACCACTCTTTATAATGAGCAGTCCCGATATCAAGGTTAAAAAATTTCACTTATCACCTTGTTCGGAAAAATTAAGTTTGATTCTATTTTCAAAAAAAAAAGCAGTATATGTATGCGAAACTAATCAGACTTTTTCTAGCATAATATTTTTTTATTTCTTATTTGTTTTTCTATTGTAATAGTTTTATTTTTAAATTGCTCTTTCCCTCTTAAACATAAATACGTTTATTTAAGGACTTTTTCTTAACATTTTTTTAAATACAATAATTTCTATAAATTAGCAATAGCGTGATGGCTGGATCCATAGGTAGAAGTGGCGATCCTATACTTATAATGAAATAAATGAAAAACTTTTCGTTATTGTTTGTGTTGTAGGTCCGGGTCCAACTTACTCTTTGCCGACTACAATTGGCTACGATAAACATGATGTTCGTAAAATCCGTATGCCGCAATATTCATTTGGGGCTAGATTCGAACAGAAGAACAAAAATTACACACCCGGACCTAGCTTTAACGTTCAAAATCAGAC